ATCAAAACATTTAGATATAAATGTTGTCAGTCAGTCTCAAGTCAGTGTATTTGCTACACAAAGTAGCGAGAAATTAACGTGACACAGCTGACGGCGACAGACTCCTCTCGCTCTGACTGTCTCTCTGCTCCAGGATGCTTCTAACTGGAGCGGCTGTGAGCTGAAGTGAACGTTGTTTCTGATTTCTGCCTGATCACAAGTGTTTTTAGTTTCGGTTTGATGCCTCTAATGAAGAGCAGAGTGCTCGTCTCATTGACAGTGTAGAGCAAGTTACTTCCAAAATGTAGGCTCATACAACATAGATCACTAGTTACAGTGATTTGAGAGTAATTAGTTATATTAGAATATTACTGTGTCTGAATTGTAAGGCTTTACACAACTTCTGCGTTACCTTCACTGTTATTTAATGGAGGCATTAGTAAGATGTGCTGCAGCTTGAAGGCCAGTTGCCTTCATCTGGTGTGGTTTCAGAGAAAGGCAAGAAACTGGTTTGACAGCCAAAGTAGAAACAGGGCTACAGCCAGGGCAACAACAGGAGCAAAAGCCAGGGCAACAACAGGAGCAAAATCCAGGGCAACAACAGGAGTAAAATCCAGAGCAACAACAGGAGCAAAAGCCAGGGCAACAACAGGAGCAAAAGGCAGGGCAACAACAGGAGCAAAAGCCAGGGCAACAACAGGAGCAAAAGCCAGGGCAACAACAGGAGCAAAATCCAGGGCAACAACAGGAGCAAAAGCCAGGGCAACAACAGGAGCAAAAGCCAGGGCAACAACAGGAGCAAAAGCCAGGGCAACAACAGGAGCAAAATCCAGGGCAACAACAGGAGCAAAAGCCAGGGCAACAACAGGAGCAAAAGCCAGGGCAACAACAGGAGCAAAAGCCAGGGCAACAACAGGAGCAAAATCCAGGGCAACAAAAGGAGCAAAAGCCAGGGCAACAACAAGGCTACAGCCAGGGCAACAACAGGGCTACAGCCAGGGCAACAACAGGAGCAAAAGCCAGGGGAACAACAGGGCTACAGCCAGGGCAACAACATGGCTACAGCCAGGGCAACAACAGGGCTACAGCCAGGGCAACAACAGGGCTACAGCCAGGGCAACAACAGGAGCAAAAGCCAGGGGAACAACAGGAGCAAAAGCCAGGGCAACAACAAGGCTACAGCCAGGGCAACAACAGGGCTACAGCCAGGGCAACAATAGGAGCAAAAGCCAGGGCAACAACAGGGCTACAGCCAGGGCAACAACATGGCTACAGCCAGGGCAACAACAGGGCTACAGCCAGGGCAACAACAGGGCTACAGCCAGGGCAACAATAGGAGCAAAAGCCAGGGCAACAACAGGGCTACAGCCAGGGCAACAACATGGCTACAGCCAGGGCAACAACAGGGCTACAGCCAGGGCAACAACAGGGCTACAGCCAGGGCAACAACAGGGCTACAGCCAGGGCAACAACAGGGCTACAGCCAGGGCAACAACAGGAGCAAAAGCCAGGGCAACAACAGGAGCAAAAGCCTGGGCAACAACAGGGCTACAGCCAATGTAACAACAGGAGCAAAAGCCAGGGCAACAACAGGAGAAGCCAACGCCGTCCTCACCTCCCTGAAGTCTGCTGGCATAGCATTAAACAGCATATAGAGCAAACAGCCAGCCATTCTTTTAAATGGGAGGCAGCAGACCACACTGTGTGTGTTACCCAACAGCATGTTGCTATTTTACTGGTTCCCTTCACAACCAAGCCGCCGGTAAAAATACTGTGTACATGTGCACTGGGCCTAAAATGACTGATTTCAAAACTTCCAGAGGGTTATTATGAAAGATTGATTTTTCCACATCATATTTAACATTTCACAACCCAAGCACGTGCGGCCCATTCATTTTCACATCTACCAACCAAAGACCACAATCCATACATTAGTGTTACATTGCCTTTTTTGATCATGGGAAAACATTTTAAAAATCAAAAGAAGAGCAAAAAGAGGAAGCAAAGAAACTCCTGCAGAAACAGAAAGCTTTAATGACAAAAGAACTCAGCACTGAAGAAAATGGAGGAAGGGAGCCGGAGAGGGGAGCGCTTCATGACAAAGCCTCACCTGAAGAAGTAAGGATGCTTCTAATGAATTTAATGTCCCATCGACAAATAAATCCTCAAACCAGAGAGGTGGAAAGAGGTGACTGTTGATTAAGGCAAGAATGTTTCTGCAGGAAACCACAGGACTGGGAACATTCATCTTAATTACATCAACCCAGACGGCAAATAAGATGTTGATGTCGACCATCTTATAAAATCCTGTTTAGTGCGTTCATCGTGTTACTCTGATCTCAAAGTGGGTAATGGTAATAGCTCCGGTGTCAAAGAGGAAGCCTCCTAAAATGTTGGAGAATGTCAAAATCTTTACATAACGACTGTGAGAGATCTGATATATTTAAAATAATAGCAAAAAAGTTGAGCCCTGTATCTTAAGCTGGCTTTGACTTGAGCACCTGGGATCAAGTCATTCAAGATGGTACCTCGGATGGCTGCTTCTGTATTTTTGAGCGCGTTTTTAACCTTTGGTTTGTAAAGTCAGTTTCTGCTGTGACACCCTGAGCTCGCTCAGCAGAGAAGAGCTCATGAACATCAGGGGAACACCAGCTGATTTATTTCCCACTTTTCTCACATCATCAGTGGAATAATTGGACATTCTGGTCAAAAATACGCTCACCTCTGTTCACGCAGTGAAGCTCTGGAGGAGAGGTATTCCCGGGACGTTTGTGCGTCTCTGCCGGCGTGGACTTTTCACTGATCTTCAACCTCTTCCCACCAATTCATAGATTCACCTAGAAACGCCATTCCACCTGTAAAACTCTTTCCAGTGAATTCATCTTTTTCACATCTTTTATACTTCTTACACAATGTCAATTCAAGTTTCATGTCATTTTCAGCCTGTTTTCTGAGTTTATAATGGGAGCAGATGTAGCTGAATGTTGGGAGTTAGAGTGAGAGGACCAACCGACACAGTGGGAATGCACTTCAAAATCTTAAAGATTTATCACATTACATTTGGCTATGCATCAAAAAGCAATGGTTCACCACAGTAACTTACATGGCCAATCCCAAACGAGAAACGAGACAGCCTCCTGACGTGACAGCCAGCACAGACGCTTTCATACAGAGATCCCGCAACAAAGTTGTAGGCCTAAAGAAACCCCGTCAACATGCTGCATTCACTCATTTATAGTCTGCTGAACAAAGTTTTGTGACATAATCCCACAATGTGTGCTTTCACTCAGCGATCTGGCTTTCCAGATCCAGCGTAGAAAAAGACCGTTACTGGCCACGTCGTTATATTGTGATGATGTAAGCATGCTCGGGCACCAATGTGAGTGCAGGAGCGGAGAGAGTGGACAATCACGGTTGGGAACAGTATAAGCCAACCGGGTCTAGTGTAAGTACGCCCTGACTCTGTGAGTTTACAGTACAATCTGGCCAGAGTGAACCCAGCCAACTCAGATTCAGTGCAGCAGGTACTGCTGGCACAGGCAGTGATATCCACCTCTGCCTGTCTTAAGGTCTACATATATATATATATGTTTGCTTTCTGTTTTTGTATCGACGAGTTACCGTTCTTTCAGCACAATAACTGAAGTCAACTCAGACGAGAGCTTTTAATAACTAGGACTGGGGCGATTCGTCGACCATTACATAAATGCGTAGACTCGCATTATGAGCGTCGAAGCGTCGCTGCATCCGGTGTTAGCAGGGATTCCCCCGGACAAGCTGCAGCTACCTGCAGTCTAAAGTTGGGGAGTATTTTAGACAGACACTCAACAACGTGCTGTTCCGTGAGCTTCACCTGCAGCAGAACTGCTGTCCACGAACACGTGAAGCAGCATGAACACGTGAAGCAGCATGAACATGTGAAGCAGCATGAACACGTGAAGCGAAAGTATCCCGGAGCACTGATGGCAGCACCGCACATCCTGTCCCCACATGGGCGCGGCGCATTATCAGCACGAGGACACATAGTCCGTTAAAATGTATTTCTTCATCGCCTTTATGTTAAAAGTAATTTCTGACCCCATGGTAACGTAATGTTACATTGTGTGTGATCTAACGTTCGGCCGTTATAAATATTTTCTGTTTATTTAACGGCCATGTATGAGCGAGAAAACAGCTGAAACTGACAGTACGGTGATGCAGAAATACATTTGATTATCATACTGCATTACTCAATATTGAAATAAATCCATGTCACAAACATTTGAAGTTCTAAGTAAATTAGCCTACTTAATGTGTGTTATTGTTATTATCACAAGACATCAGTGACGTGGAAATTGGAATCATTTTAAGATTTGCTACTATTGTCATTCTAATGTGCTTCATCAGGATGAGTGAAAAAAATATTGATTTATTGATAATACATGTTTTTGATATTTATTTTTGGTAAATTTGTATGTTAGTCAAGTAATAGGCAACAAAATCAGTCGTTAGATTAATCGACTTGAAAAATAATTGTTAAGTACAGTCCTACTAATAACACAGATCGTCTGTCAGATCTGAGGCGGCTGGACAGTAAGTCAAGTTCAAATAGACTTGAACCTGAGATCATAAAAGTGAGCTGGACAAAGATTTTGAAAATAAGAAGGACATGTCTCCCCCAATCCCCAGTGGGAGGAGGGCTTTGTTTTCTCCCCTAATCGGGTGGAAAAATCACAAAATAGAAATCAAAAGCTCAGCCGGGTCTCACATATTCAGTTTTACAGCCTTTAAGGGAACATAAATCTACAAACATATTAACTATGATTTATGTCTTGATCAAAGCTTTTTTGGTCAATGGTTGAGAAACAAAAACACCAAACCAAGAAGATACTTGCAGTTTCAAATGTGGATGACTCACTTTCTGTTCATCTGCAACACACGCAATGGATTTCTAAAAAAAATAAAAAAACAGGAAATACATGTCTCAGGTTGGTATATATTCAGAGGGTATAGGCTGCAGGTTGTGAGTTGATGCCAGCTGTACATCAGAGATGGACAACGTACTGACTAAACTAGTTTCTGGGAAGCTCAGCACCTACGCTGCAATCATTCTGATGTTTACCTACAGTCTTTTGCTGGACAGGGATTTTGCGTGTGCCTGCCAACCAGAAGACTTTCACTGTAGGTTATACATAGCTCTGCCCATTTTTACAATATTTCTCTTGATACTCTGGACAGACAGGCCATTTCAGAGAGTCTGTAGATACCTGATTTCAGGTGCGTTAGGATGCTGTGGCCGGCCTCACACATGCAGTTTTTTGGGTTCTTTCTTTCGTAAGATTCTTAAGGCGTTTTTAGTCAGTCTGCTTTGGGTTGCTTTTGTGTACATCGATGGAGACTGGTATGTTTGCTGCCAGAATAATGGCTCTGAAGAACAGGCACAGTTAGCCTGCAAAGTCAAGGAGAAGAATCTCACTCACGTGGACCTAGTCCTCATCGCTGGACTGAAAAACGAGTCCAGGGTGAGTGTTTCCATCATGTCAGAGTGTTACCTTTTATTTCACTGTGGTCTTGTTCTACTTGATCAGCTAGTACTGTCTTAATGAAATGACAGCAAGAACACAGAAATGCTGTTATAATTTAACCGTCTTTGTTTCTTTTTCAGGTAATTGGTGGATTTTTACTTTTTAGTATCGTTTTGGTGGCATCCCTTATACCACTGTGTGGAAGGACTCCATGCTGTGGAAACTCAGGCTGTTGCAACAGAAAGGTTCTGCATGAAGAACTGTTTTTGGAGGAGAAGCAAAACGCTCTGAGAGAGATTGTGAAGGATTTAGCAAAAGAAGATATGATTAAAGTCAAAGACAAAATACACCGTGGACAATGGGATGATGTTGCTGAAGAACTGATGAAAACATCTGCTGGGGAGCAAGGGGGAGGAGCAACGGAGAGCCAGGTAAATAATCAAAAATAACAACTGAGATTTTTATTCAGTTTGTCTGACAAAGTTGTAAGCAGGTGGAGTTCAGTTTGTGTTTTTGTACCAGCAGTTTCCCACAGATTCAGTACTTCAGTTTGTTGATCTTAGGTGTTTGTCAGTCAGATGTACTTGTCTTTTTTGTCTTTATAGAAAAGCAGTATTTTTTTATTTCACGTGCACTAAATACTCTAATTTACTGAACGCATTATTGTCTTTATCAAAGCGTTGAGGGTGGATTAGAAGTTGGATCTTCCTTATCACCCCCAGAGTTCAGGAGAGGTAAAGAGAATAAATGGCACCTTTAGGAAAGGTTAAGAAGTGCTTGTTTGAAATACTCTGCCTGCAGCAACAGCAGGAGCAACAGCCAGGACAAGAGCCAGGGAAACAAAAGGAGCAACAGCCAAAGCAACAGCGAGAGTAGCAGCAGCAGGAGACACAGCCTGAGGAAGAGCAGTGACCCTGTGAGGTAATCTGTGATCCGGGAAGCAACACAGCACAGTTAGGATGTGGCTGTGCTAATCTAATGTGTTAGAAAAGTTTGTAAGCTTTATAGTTATTAAGACACTGGTAGAGGAAATACTCAGATCCTTTACTTCAAAAAAAGTACTAAGACCACCCAGTAAAAATACCCTGTTACTCTGATACTGTGTCCTGCATTAGAAAAGCCAACCTCAAACTACCACTAAAAATCGTGGGGTGGCACACTAAACCAAAAGCCCTAACTGAAATTCAGGAATTCTATTATGCAGTATATATACTAGTTGAATACTACGTATAAATATGAGCTGAAGAATCACAGACTGAATTACTTTGGTTTCTTATTTTACAGTTAAAATTGTCTAATGTCCGTAGACTAAAACCATTTCAGTTGAAATTCCATAAAATTCGATCTTTTCCTTAAAACGACAAATACAGCTTTTATTTGTAGGAGTGCATTGACTGGGAGGAACAAAACATTTACTGGGAACAAGCCAACTCAAGATTACATCTGACATCATGGAGCATAAATATTTTTCTTTTAATTTTTCGAACAATTCAAATTGAAATATACAATATGTGAGTTGTGTAATTATTTATTAACATACTATTTCACAATTTTGGTGTTATTCTTGTTACAAAAAACTAGGATAACCACTAATTTGACCAGTGTCATATTTCTATGTAAAAATAGTGGGGGGGGCACCAACTATTTCAAAACCTAGATACCAGTAAAACTACAACACTCTCTCTTGCTTCTGTGTTTTAACATGTCAACAAACAGCATGGCTCCACAAAACACTTAACAGCAAACTAGCGTAATAATCCCGAATAATAACGCAGTATGAAAGTGGCTATATGACAACAACAATATGACAACAACCATAATCCGTAGCCCGGTCTCAACCCATCCAGCACAACAATTTGCCCATGCAGGGACCAGCAGCAGAGTCAGGATGTTAAAAGATGCTTTCACTCACCACAGCTGAGCCCTCGCGTGAGGACAAAAGGCAGCACGGCGGGTTTTCCTCTGGGAAAACTTCCGGATGACTCTGAAGATGAGTTCTGAAGAGCAGTGTTTGTTGTGCTGCTCAGTGGAGCTCATCAGGGGCTTCAGTATTCATGTGATGTTAGCTTGCTGTTAGCGATGGTGCTAACCTGTTGCTATCTGCAGACTATTAGCTCTGACTTACAGTACAATACACAAAACTGTGTAGCAGTGTGACAAACTTACTATAAACTAGCCAGGCTACTAACTGTCTCCGTTCATCAATTAAATTACACTTTTCTTTCTTCTGCAGCTGGTCGCTGCCTCCACAGAAAACACTCACATTCGGCCAACCGATGCTCTGATCTGCTCTGCCCGTTAGCCTCTTAGCCAGTTACAATGAAGAAATGTGATTTCCATCTACATGGACCAATCAGAGGCCTCTCCTAAAATAAACATCATAGTCTGTCACACCCATGTCTCACCTCAGGGTCAGAGGGTACCGTCAAAGTGACAGAGCCTACTATGAGAACACTTGTTATATGAATACAATATTAACACACTTTCAATTGTGTTTTCTCCAAACAGGAGGATCCCCTGTTGGTCTAGACTCCAGGTTCATCAGACGAGCAGTGAAGATGGTCTACGATGGTTTAATTTATATTTACAATTTACACAACATGGTGTTAGCAAATTTTTATTTATTTGCTTTTGTTATTTGCACTGTCTGTTTAAAAGAAATGTTTCTATTCTGATTTATATTTTCTGTATTAGACAAGCTTTCAGTTCCCAGAACTCTGCACAACTTCATCAGGTGTTATGATTAAAGGTTTTAGTTTCATGTCATTATAATGCAAATGTCATTCAAAGGATATCATCAACATTAAAACTCTAAAAACTAAATAATAACTATGAGCTGGAGCTCATTTTGAACCATGTTGTGTCAGACTGCAGCTAATAATTGAGGATTAATTTTCTCCATTAAGTGATTGATTTGTAAATATTCTCACAGAGCCCAAAGTGACTCCTTCACAATGTTAATCAATTAATCAGTTAAACGTTTCAGCTGTACTTGTATAAACTGTTGGGAATAAACTCTTGACATGTTTTGTGTGTAAAAGTCTTCATTTTAAACTAAAGCTGTCTGATAAATATGTGAATTAAAGTACAAGTACGTCAACTTTGTACTAAGTAGGCACACTTAAATACCTGAGGCCTGTATTTTAAGAATAAAACACGTTTTATCTGCATCTACATCTAAATACACACAGTGACAAACAATCATGTTGCAGAATACCTAAATATAAATCTTTGAATTGTGAAGAGCTGTAACAGAATCAGGCTCCTGTGTCCCGATCCTGTCTGCCATGTCATTTTTTGTACTTTTAGTCAGTTTTATTATCTGTTGTTTTGGTCTGTTGGGTTTTGGGGTTCTGTCTTGTCTGTCGTCTAGTGTTTAGTAACCTTTGTCACGTCTGTCTCTGTTTTCCTCCGCTGTCTCTCTGCCTACCTGTGCCTCGTTAGCCTCATGTCTGCTGTCTCCGTGAGTTGCTCTGTGTCTGCCCTTTCGTCGTGTCTCCCTGTTTCCCTGTACCATTTGGATTTTGGTTTGGATAACCTCTGTTTTGGACTCTGTATCAGCCACTCAACCTGTAAGTGTGCACGCCTTTAGTTGTTTAAATAAATCACTAAACTGTACCTGCCGGCTCCAAGTCCTGCATTTGGGTCCTCCAACCTGCTCAACCCTGCCTTCACCACAAAGGCGTGACATCCTTAGTATGTACAGTATCCTAGTCCCACCAGCACTCATGAATATGGGTGTCATTTACACTCGGGATGTTGGGGACATGTATCTACCACTTTTTTGACATGGCTGATTTTGTCCCCATCACTTTTTAAAAGATTTTGTTAAAAAAACTGGAATACCAATGAAAAAGAACCAGACTTTAAGTCAGCTAGTCAGTTCTGTGTGTGCTTTGGAAGCTATGGAAGATAATGGAATCTAAATTGCTCTTCAACATTTCCATTTTCTGTTACAGAGGTAAGTATATTTACATTTACTACATTTACTCATTTGGCAGACGTTTTATCCAAAGCGACTTACATTTGAGGAACAACATACAAGCATCAACAGAGCATCAACTACAGATCTACAAGTGACAATACATACTAGTAAGAGCAGCAATAAGTACTAGTAAGAGTACATATCACATCAATGGGGAAGATACCAAGGGAAGGAAGTAAGAGTTAACAAAAAGTACAATCAATACAAGATCATTGTAGGGGATAGAAGAAGAAGAGCACAGGAAGTGCATGTTTGAGGTTAGGAGTTAGAGGTGTTATAAGATGAGGTGTTCTCGGAACAGATGAGTTTTCAAGAGCTTCTTGAAGTAAGAGAGGGACGCCCCTGCTCTCATGGCGTGTGGTAGCTCGTTCCACCATCATGGTGTCACAGATGAGAATAGCCTATAATTAGAGATTCTGCAGGTCGAACTTCACAGTCAGTGGACTGTGCGGGACAGCCGATACTCATCAGACACATACTAAAAAATTCTGCACATGTCCCGCACCTCAAGTCCGAGTCAACTCTCAAGTCTTTTGAGGACGAGTCCCAAGTCACTGTGTTTGTGTGTGACTTAAGTGTACGAGTCTCAAACTCGAGTCCCCATCTCTGATAGACACATGAGTATGGTGTGGTGTAGGAGAACAGGGTTTGAGTGCGCACTGCTGCCTGAGTGTGGTCAGCTGCCGTGGAAGGTGCAAATGCTACAGTTTTGGTCATGCTAGCACAGCACAGCTGCTGTTGTGAAGATTATGCTCCATTTCAATTTAGAGCAGGGTGCAAACTACGGGGGCAGCTTAGCTTCTCCTAAGAAGACATCAGTGTCCCTGAAAGCATGATTATTGAAATTTTGGGGGGGTCTCTAAAATATTGACAGCATGCCTTGTTGACATCAATCTCTATATTTCTCTATCATCATGGATCCGTGTGTGCAATCAGGAGCGTCACACGTCATCCAGCCAGAGGGAACGATCACCGACTGTCCGCAACGGGCCGGTCGCTCTGCAATCTCCTGTCCCTGGGCCGCCCCACTTCCTCTCCGGTACGGACTGTGTCGCTAGTACGACCAACACGCTGTGAGCGTTTCGTGAGCGTTCCCTCTGGCTGGAAGAATATTTCCCATGATCCATGCAGTACTGCAGCTGCGGGCTCTTCGCAGTGTCATACAACTTTCTAAATTCCTCAAAATCACGAAAAAAAGAAAGGTCAGGTCGCAAACACAGCCGCAGCGTAATTGTAGCAAAATGGCATACATATAATAATAATAAAAAATTAATATTATTGTTAGAATAACACAGTCATGCCTGATACTTTCACAGACAGCAGTGTTGTGAACAAGACAGAACGGACACAAACGCAACACGCAACAAGTTTTCCAAAAGGTATGAGTATGTACAGTATATGTTAGTCCCACCAGCATTCAGGAATATTTATTACACTATTTATTCATTCCTGCTATTTATCATTGCACTTCTGTTAGTACTCTATATATCCACATTTATTATATACCTATCTTTTTATACTTTCTTATGTTCTTTACTTACCAACTTCTAATATTTCTGTTCCTTTCGTGCCTTGATGGGCAAGTCAGTAACTGTAACAAAGAATTTCCCTTCAGGGACCAATAAAGTTTTCTGATTCTGACAATTCAAAGAGTAACAGACAGCAGCTGCTCTGGTCTCTGTTGAACCTCTGAACACAGCCGACATCACAGCTGGGTGAAGTCAGATCTGTTGTAGCAGTGACCACACCCAGCTGAGATGTACTGGATCACCGTGATCACTAGAGGTCTCTGCTGCATCAGGTTTTACTCCTCCAACACAAAAACACAGAAACCTTTTCTCTGTTTGTCCATGAGGACGAACCACAGAGAGATTAAGCTTCTGACTGTTGGTGGAAATGTATATTGTGAGATCCTTACTAACTTGCTGCTGAACATCTTATGCACTGATGAGAGAAAGGCCCAACTGGAATCAGTCATCTGTAGATCAGACACCTGTTGGTGGTTGAACATAAATTTACTATAACCTTTATGGTTACCTGTAGGCTACTACCCGAACATAGTGTTTGCTCATGGGTCCATTCGTGAAACCTATCTTGACCGACAGCACTGTAAACACTGCCAGTCAGCCCTCGGTCTGGCGTCAAACGAGAATATAAAGGTTGAATCTTTCACAGGGCAGCCACAGTGCCTTAGACCTGTAGACCGGCAGCCTCCCTTCTTGTTTTAACCTGATGATTTGATCTCTGTCATCACACTCGACTGGTCGTGTGCACACACACACATCATCACAGCGTTCAGTCAGTGCGTCAGTGTGCGTGGCCGAACAGTGTGGAGAAAAACTGCACAGGCAGAGCTGAGACAGAGAAGAGGAGGAAAGAGACGTTAAATGCTGTAAAATGACAGATACAATTTTACTGGACAACTTCACTCTCACCCAACATTTCACATTCCCCACCCATGACAAAGGACACATCCTTGACCTGGTCTTCTCCACTAACCTACCAGTGCTCGACCTCCATCCATGCCTCTTTCCCCTCTCTGATCACATACTGATACAGTTCACCATTCCTTCTCCAACCGCACGCCCCTGCCTCCTCAGAGAAATCACCTTGCGCCACCTTAAATCCATTGATCCTCACCATCTCACCTGCTCTCCACCAATCTCCACCTGGACTCAACCCTTACCTCACCTGATGATCTCACAAACCACCTCAACTCCGCTTTGTGTACATCCCTTAACACTCTGGCCCCCCTCAAAACAAAAACCGTCACTTTCAATACCTCGTCACCCTGGTACGCACCTGCACTCCGGAAAATGAAACAAACTGGCCGTCAACATGAATGTCTGACAAAAAAATCATCTGTCACAGTCCACCATGAAGCCTATAAACTCTACCTCATTGCCTACAAAGATGCCCTCATTGCTGCCAAATCTGCCTACCTCTCCTACATCTTCACCAACCCCTGTCATAACCCCAGAACCCTCTTCTCCACAATGAACAACCTCATCAAGCTTCGGACCAACACCCTTCCTACCTCTTCTCCGGATCTCTGCAACTCATTCCTTCACTTTTTCGCTGATAAAATCAACACTATTTATCAATCTCTATCCCCTGCATCTGACCTCCCAGTATCTACTCCAGCACCTACCACGGACCTTCTTCCCCCTATCCCGCCTGACCTCCCTCCTCCTCCTCCACACTGCCTCCTCTCCCAGTTTGACCTGGTCACCACTCCTGAAAGATCTAAACTCATCAGCTCTTCCATACCCACTACCTGCTCACTTGACTCCCTCCCTACTCCTCTCATGAAGTCATGCCTCCCTGTCCTTTCCCCCTACCCCCCTAACCTCTTCAACTCCTCACTGTCCCTTGGAACTGTCCCCTCTGCTTTCAAAACCACCGCTGTCACCCAGTCCTTAAAAAACCTGGTCTGGATCCATCTTTCCTTAATAACTACCGCCCAATATCCAACCTCCCCTTTCTGTCTAAAACCCTTGAACGTATAGTCGCCTCACTTACAATTACAAACTCATCTCCATGCCAATAACCAATTTGAACCTTTCCAATCTGGTTTTCGCCCCCTCCACAGCACAGAAACTGCTCTCCTCAAAGTCTTCAACGACCTCCTCAGTTCCGCTGACACCAGTTCCCTTAACATCCTTTTTCTTCTTGACATGAGTGCAGCCTTCGATACCGTGATCCATAACATCCTGCTCACTAGACTCAAAGACCTTGGTATCGAAGGTACTGCACTCACCTGGCTCCGTTCCTACCTTTCCAACAGATCCCACTTCATCTCTCTTCATAACCGTACCTCTGTTACAGTCACAGTCACCCAAGGTGTTCCCCAAGGCTCCGTACTCGGCCCCCTTCTCTTCATCATCTACATCCTCCCCCTTGGTCAGATACTCCGCCACTTCAACCTGAACATCCACTGTTATGCCGATGACACCCAGATCTACCTCAGTACCAACTCCTGTCTGTCAGCTATTAAAACCTGGACGCAACACAACTTCCTCAAACTAAACAGCAATAAAACAGAATTCCTCCTCAAAGGCTCCAAATCCACTCTCAGCAAAGCCAATAACCCCACTCTCACCATCGACGGCAACATTGTCTCCCCATCTCCCCAGGCCCTCAACCTCGGTGTGATCTTTGATTCAACCCTCTCCCTTGAGCCCCACATCCGTCATGTCATTAAAAAATCCTTCTTTCACCTTCGCAACATTGCCAAAATCAGACCCTCACTCACACCCTCTGCTGCTCAAACACTCATTCACGCCTTCATCTCCTCACGGCTAGACTACTGCAACTCACTACTCCTTGGTATCAGCTCAACCTACATAAAAAGACTC